CAAACGTCAACTGTCAGGAAAAGAGTAAGTAAAGTAAACGAGCAGTCAGCCGGCAGGGCAGGGAAACAAATCTAATAAGTTAGCCAGCAGAAAACGCAAAAGCAAACAAACTGTGTCGCATTTATCTCAACCGCAAAAATGTCTGCCATATTTCATTTTAAATGCAGCACCTGCAGGCAGACAGGCGGCCCAGGACTGGCCAGGACTACGAAGAAAAAGCCAACTACGCACACATGGAAAATGCTGAAACGAAATGTCAACGATGGAAAGTTAAGGACACACACCAAAAAAATAGAAAAAAATTAAAAGAAAAAGGACAAAGTGCCGAGGAACCACAGGAGCCTAGCCAACAAGAAGCGGCAGCTGTAATCAACAACATCAGCATAAACTTGGCCGACACAGACAGTGTTAGAAAATCCGTGCAAAAGTTTTATTTCAGCCCCCAGCCCACCATTGGCCCACACAGCTGCAGTGTGGGCGTGACGGGAAAGAAGACATATCTAATAACATTAAGTAGTTTGCGCGTCGTTTGAATTATGGCCACGTTCGCTGATGGCAGGCAGCCTGTGCGATGGGATGTGGTTCTAAGCCAGGCCAACAACCAGGCGCGTTTGGGCCTCGTTTTTGCAAACATTTAATTCCTATGCGTTTGCTTGTTGGCCACTTTGCACTACATTCGCTTCCTTGGCTTGCCTGGAAATTCAATTTTGAAAAATTGTTCCCAGACACGAAACGCAACCAGCGAACGCTCCCTGAAGGTCAGTCCTTTGGCCAACATATTAGCATATCCTAATGAGGCCTCAAGAAAATGATCATTAAATCATAAGGTAGAGTTACGTTTGATAAGCATATACCATACATATAATTTATGGAATACCTTTGAGGACCTTTTAATTTCCCATTTCCAAGCACAAAATTCCTTACAAAACTATTACACTCTCTGGGAAAATGTCCAAATTTAATATTTTCAAAATTATATCATATCACTAGCGGCTGCCAAAAACAAAATGCAAAAGGTCAGAGGTAGGACCGCCTTGAGCAACCCTCAGCACTTGAAAAAATACACGGAAAACCCGTGTGGCAAACAACCAACAACACCTGAACAAAGTTGTCTCGACTGGCAGACTGGGCGGACGACGGCGACGCCAATGCCAAAAGCGAAAAAGGGGAAAACTTTCGCATGAAAACTTTTCATTTGCATTTTTTCATATTTTTCAAGATGCGAGGCGAGATACTTTCGTTACCAACTTGTCCCGCATGTGCCGGTCCCTCCTCACCATCGCCTCTACCAGTGCCCGGAGTGCCTGGCCTAATTAAAACGATTGTGGTGTTAATGTAATTGCTCGGAAATGAGTAACGCTCTTGTGGCAACAAATTAGCAGCACATTACAGGTAAACAACGGGCCCACACTGCGTATACGTAACGAACGATTTGCCATTCAACTTCAACTGACAACCGACTAAAGGGGATGGATACTAATACCTAATACGAGATACAATCAAAAATCCAATTTCAATTAACATTTCAGCTTGAATAAATCGTCCGATTGCATCAATGAATCAGCCATCGATTATGGCCATATTGTATGCAAATGGCTTGTAGGTATGAGTATGTGTTTATAATCACTTTTCACGTTTGCTTTGCGGCGACTGTCATTATCATTTTTCATGCTGTCTGGCTGAATTTTTGTTGCTTTTCTGCTTATTGTTAGCAGCTGCCATCTCCTATAAACGTATATAATATATATATCCTCCCTTATATATATAAACATTTTCTTTTTGGCCCGTTTGTTTGCCTGTTTTGTTGGCAGACTTGGTTTTTGCAGTCTCAGGTTTCCCTTTATTATTACATATCCGTAATTCAATTTATCATTATTTATTCGTTATGAATTATTTTGATTATATAAGTGAGGCATTTTGGACGACTCTTTTGTTGGCTTTGAATTAATAAATCAATTTCTTGTATTTCTTAATTATTTTTGTATATATTTGTTAGCCCAACGAGGGATTTTCTTCAAAAATTGATGATGTTATTATTCTGATTTATTCATTTCACTCTTTACCTTTTTATTTGATTGCTTTTACATTTTATTATCTTTTCATTTATTTCTCATTACATTTTCAATGCAATTGGGTCACGATTATTGTTTATGCTTTTTAAATATTTAATTTTTTTGGCCTTTGGATATCGCTTTAGAATGCACTCGAAGCAATCAAAGTAATTGAAGGTGGAACTTGAAAGGATCTGCTTGCAGTCGCATCGGCAGTCGCTTTCTATCTCATTATTGATTGATTTGATTTCGGTTGTTGTTTGTGTTTTTGTTTACGTTAGTTTTGCATATTTTCAGTTGTCACTCATGCGTCGCCATTTGGCAGGACGAGTGCACCGTGTCCGGGTACCGTGCCGTGACCAGGTCCTGGGATCGCTTACCTGCTGGGACACACACACGGTTCTTGGCCAACGGCGACGTCCGAGTGACAATTACGGCTGTTGTGGACTCGGGCTGTTGTGGTCACCTTGATACGGTTGTGATTGCAATTCCATATTACATTTGCACTGCAATTTTTGCATTATTTATTCGGCACGGAACTCCCATCGCCACGCCAGTTGGGAACCAAATCAATTATTAACGACGTTCTTTTGCGCACATAACTATCTTTCTGGTAGGCGTTAAACTTAAACTTCTCCTTCAGAATTCTTTTATTTTTTTCTTTACAAAAAATGGGCCAAGTTCGGTTTGGAAAGTGGAAAGGAAAGTGGACGAGTATTAGTTGTAGAAAAATGGTAGAAATTCCCTATTTAATAGGCGCGGACGCGTCGCGAACTGCGAACTGCAGCGCCCAGGCTGCCGTTTTTGTCCTTTTTGCTGCTGCTGGTGTAATTTGCTGGTCTGTCGAGCGGCGAGGACGAGAGGACGCGAGGACGAACTCTGCCAGCCAGGAGACGCGCGAACGGGCACAACAAAAACACGACTGAGGCCGCCCAACGGCCACCAACGAATAACGAGGCGAAATTGAAAGCGAGCGCTCCAACCGATTGCGAATCGGACTCGTTTTCGGCTTGGCTTTCAGTTTTCAGGTTTCACATTTCAGGTTGAACGAAATTGAAAGCGGCCGCCGCCCGAAGTGGGTCGCTCGCTGGCGCGTGCTTCGTCGCTCGTCCTTCGCCCTGCATTGCAGCAGGAGCTCAGCTCGTGAGCGGGAGCAGGATCTGCCGATATGTTGGGCTCTGCTGCCTGGCATGTAAACAAAAGCCAAGTCGAAGCCGAAGCTTGGCCAGGTGCGGCCAAGGAGCAGGACCCGAATCGCAAAAGCCGAGCCAACAATGTCCTGCTCCTTGCTGAGAGCGGTGCTCCCGCCAAAAGCTCTCTCTCGCCCGCTCAGCTGTGCGTGGGCGTTGCAAACAGCTGATGGCTCTCCTTTGGCCTAATTTGATGACATTGCTTTAGTGCACAATCAGAAAAATATTGAATATTGAAGAATGCTTCAAAAAAATTAAAATAAAATAAAAAATGTAATATACAATTTAATATTGATATTTACCTTTTGCAAAAAAATAAAAGAGGCGAGATAAACTTGTCGTAAAAAAAAAAACGTGATCGCAAAGCCATTACAGAGTGCTGTTAGGCACTGCATAGAGCTGTTAAGCACAGGGTTGCTTCGATTATCGAATCAGCTGTTTTAACAGCTTTTATATCGGAGAAGATCGACTTCCGGTACTGAAGACGCTAACCCTTGACTAAAATTATTACTTATAAAATAAAAATATAACCTCTTATTTTGTACAGTGTTAAAGCTCGCAGTCTCCTACATTTGGGAGTGCAATCGGCTGCCTGTTATCCTAGCTGACATTGTAAACATGACCAAAATGCATGTTCCCCAAGGTGGCTGGGTGTTCGTGTGGGTGTGTGTGTGGCAGTATGTGCGGGTGTAAAGCCACATTTGACGTGCCAGTGCCACATTCATTTGCATATTTGAGAGCCTTTTCTGGCTTATGCGTGAAGTGTATGGTTGTGTGGGTGTGTATGAATGAGAGAGGGAAAGAGAGAGACCGCATCGCATCGCATACGCTCAAGTCTCATGTGTAAGGCATAGATAAGTTCAACTTAATTAAAGTTTCAAAAAGGGACAAAACGGTGACTGCTGGTTTTTTGGGCTGCTCGTTGCATAAATTATGACAATTGGCCATGCGGCTTACAAGATGCACCCGAGACCTTGCTTATTTTCCCTTATTATCATTATCATCATGGTAATTTGCCAGCTGTAGTAGTTAGTGTAATATTTATACCACCCTTCTTCTCGTTTAGGCATAAATCCCTGTAAGTCTCTTATTAATGAGAATGCTCTGGTTTTGCCCAAGAGATTGGTCAGGAAAACGAAAGGTGTATAATCCCCTTCAAGTGTTTCTGTGTGATTGGTTAGTAATCCCCCAAATTTCAACACCATGCTGAGTTTGCATTCCATTTAATAAAAAATATTAAAAATAAAAGCTTCATCTAAATATTTGAAAATCCAAGGAGATTATTTTGCTGTTAAATCGCTCAAATGTCTTCATTAATGCCTCGATTCACGCAGATTAAAATCAGTCATATCGCTCATAAAGTTGTTCCCACATTTGACATTATTTTTTGTAATGCGCCAGATTATCATATCACATTTATTTGATTAGATTGTCATTTGAATTAAGTCTTAATCATAATATTTGGCAATTCATAGAGATCATTATGTAGCTAAAATTCATAAAATGCCTCATTGTTTCCTCGATTCATTACCATTAAAATATTATATACATATATTCATGTATGAATTTTTCACACACTTTAAATTATAATAAGTCATCACTCCTAAAAAAAATGATTATTAAAATATGTACATATGTATACCTAGTATAGTCCATAAAACCTTACAATAAATACGAATGCACTTACAGAAGTTTGTGAAAAAATAACCCTCTAACACCTTTTTGGTTTTTAACATATGCATAATAATCATCATAGTCATCATCATCGCTCTCATCCGAAGAAGAAACATTAAGATCCTCCATAAGTTCCTTGAAGCCATACTCGGTCTGGTCATTGTCCCTGATAAAACTTGAATGGAATTTGTTAATATCACATAGCCTCGCTGAATCTTCCTCTTTGCGCTTCTTTATTTCGGAAATTACTTGATCTTGGGACTTGTCCTCGTGCTCCTTTTGTGCCAATTTGATAATCATCTGCACGGCTAGTTCGTTCTGCTCCTCCAAAGTAAGAACTCTCTCCGGAGCATCATCTACCTCCTCATAGGCAGCCACATCTTCAATCGAATAACCGTCACTCATTTTTGTTCTCAGGAGCAGTACAAAAAACGTCTAACAACTTAGCTCTTTGCGACTCGAATGAAAGATGTCAAACTACTGATGGCTTCTTTCATAATTTATCGATTAATAATTTCATTCCTCTTTAGTTATCGAACAAAGAGTGAGAAGTGTGTTTGGGATATCTTCTAAAATATTTTTTTTATATAAAGTGGAGCAACAAATGTGATTTTAACGGGTCCAAAGTTCCTATGTTTCATTTCCATTATTCCAACATTTAGCTTTTTATCAAATGGGCGTTCTACGGTTACTGCACCATACTTAATCCAAAATTGAAATTTCAGAAATTAAATCCATGCATAAGTATCGGATATAATGTACCGATCCTTATGGAGTATGGAGTTATGGAGTTTTGGTATCAGACCAATTTCTTCAAATATATAGTTTTGAAAAAAGTCCCCCGCTTTTACAAGTAGAATCATGAAGTAGAATCATATTAATTATAATAATTGTAACAAGCGCATGAAAGCCCTGTTTAAAAAAATTATTATTTTGAAATTTCGATTAAGTTATAGAAATTGCCTTAATTCACCTCGAAAAAATATGCCTATACCGAAACGCATTCACACTTTGTTTAATTTGGAACTGCTTTTGTTTGTGATGGATAATTGTTTGTGAATAATATTTAAAGGTATCTTAAAAATTTTTGTAAATAACTAAATAGTTTGGTAAAAAACAAAGTCCACAATTGTTTTAAGCATAAGCTTAAAGTACAAGTAAGGAACTCAGCCAAAAATCAACAAGTCGCTATTAAATAGCTTTGTAAATACTATATATGTATTCCGATGACAGTCTTTTTATAAGGATATTCGAAAAAATTTAAAACAATGTTTAAAAACATTTAATGTTTTTTAAAATTTATTAATAACCTAGACGAGACACAAACCTTTTTTTTAGAAGGTAAAGGTTGGAAAGCTTTCCAGAGAACAAAGCTTTTAAGGTTTTTGTCTGTAGTGAGGTGAGTTTCTCTTTTAGTCCTGCATGTTGGGATAGGTTTTGAATGAGAAAAATAACTTCGAAGTAAAAAAACGCTTAGCTTATTACTCTAAGTAGCTCTATTAGTAGTTAAGTAGTTATTACTCTAAGTTCTTAATTAATTAGAGTTTTTAAAATCGTAGCAAATATCTAAGCCATTGAACCTATTAAGCATTCGAACCTATTGCTAATTACCACTGAACAAGTCTCAAGTTAAAACTAAATTGCACAGCCTGCATTTAAATTGCGCCAAATTAAGCACCTTCTGGCTATTTATAACATGTCAAGGACACGCATTAGGACTTATTGATTAGTATAGCCGTTGGCAGGACCCAACACCCCGAACCGGTTGCTGCATTAAATAAATTATGGGCTTCAGCGATTACAATCGGTCAGCGTCAAGTTCGTCACGCATCGTAACATCGCAATAATTGCAGGTGTCATTGAGTTGGGAAACCAAAACAAAAACAGTCGAAACCTATTCAATTATGGCCAACACCGATCCATTTAACAATAGGGATTAAAAATTCCATTTGTTTCCAAAGGTCGTGACAAGGTACGCGTTAAACATCCTAGGTATTAAGACTGACATGACACGCACCTTGGCGGTGACAATAAAAACAAAAGGAAAACCAATCAAAATCAGTTCTATATAATAGGTTTACTGAAATTTTGTGGGCGGATATGAGAAATAATGACATTCGAAGCAATGACATGCAGGCATTTGAACAACAGGTTATATTTAAAAATGGATTATTCCGGATGGCTTTTTTATTTGTTTTTATTGAGAATTTAGGTAGTACTACTAAAATATGGTAAGCTTTTCAAACTATGCTTTCTTTTTTAAAATATAATTCAAATATAATTAAATCAGGGATTCCCTTTTATCATAAATTTATCACAAATATTTCAACTCTCATTCTTTTCTATTATTTTCAGAATGAAATATAATGTATTTTACAAAATATAATATACACAAAATAATAGCATTTAACTTAAATTAAAATCAAAGTTATTGGAAAAAGTATTTACATGAAAAAGCCCTATCCAGCTAACCAGACACTTTAATATTCCTCACAGCTTGACTGCCACATGTCGTATACTTAATAAACTCAACCGACTTCTCCAATCCCAGTCCCCAGTTCCAATATCCAATATCCCAGCAAAACCATGACCAAGAACAACAACCTCAACCGAGCCATAAACTTGGCGCCAGTTGAGGCAAAAAAAGCTGAGCTGCCAAAGCGAGAAAGCAATAGTGCTAAAGCGAGAAAGCAAACACTAGAAGGACTTCCACGAGGAACTTCAATTCAACGTTGCATGCAACACAATCCGAATCTGGGCCGTTGCACTTGCAACCAACACCTGTTGCACTCACTTTGAGGTTGCCGCTGCTATTGTTGCTGTCGCCGGGCTCCGGTGGCGGCTCCACTTGCAGGTTAAGGTTCTGCTGGGAGGCGGCCGGCGTGGGCTGGGGCGTGGAGAGCTGCTCGCCGCCGCCGGCACAATAATCCGCCACGCTGGGCACCAGCAGGACACCCACCTTGTTGCGGGCTACCTGCTGTTGGGTGGTGGAGCGGCGGTGCCGCGAGGGCAGCATCATTCGGTGGGCGACCAGAGCCATGATCGGAGCTCCGAGGGTCGGATGGATATACCGTTATCTCACTAAATAGCACACACTGCACTTTTTTTGGGGATTTTTTGGGGCAACGGAACGAATATCCTGCGGAGGACAAATCAATGCCGCGTTTGCCTTAAGGAAATGCTCGCCGCCAACTGAAAGACAACCAAAAAAGCTAAAAAAAAATGGAGGAAAACCAGCGGCGAACGAAAAACGAAAGCGAAACTTTCAACGCACCGGAAAGAGGCGAAAGGAAATGGCCGTCCGCCCTCTCGCTCGCACTCATTTTCCGCCATTTGGAGCTCGTCAGTGGGTCGGTCGGTGGGTGTGTGTCTGTGTGTGTGTGTGTTTGCGTACTAAACGCCGCATGTTTGATGAACGTTTTTGTTGTTGCTCCTTTAACGTTAATATTAATGTAGGAATCACATTGTCTGCTTCGAGTGTATCCTTGTTCGGGTGAGTGTGTGTGTGGCAGTGAATGCACTATAGGAAATATGACCACTTTTTCTGGCCAAAAATAATATCTCAAGAACGAAACAAGATATTTAAGTTCTGATTTTTGATTTGAGTTCACATGGTCAATAGATTCAATATTTTAAAAAAATGTGGGCGTGGCACCGCCCACTTTTTAAGAAACACATTCTAACTCAAAAACTAAGCAAGATATTTAAATTTTGATTTTTGATTTGAGTTTATATGGTCAAAAGAACTCAGAAATGAAAAAATTGTGGGCGTGGCACCGCCCCCTATTTAAAAATAACATTCTAACTGTTCGGTTTTGCACTAGTCTCACAGCTAACAGATTCACATTAAAGGTGTTGAGGTTGCCTCCTTAAATTATAAATTTCTTCGAAAGTGCATTTTTATGCATATTCATATTTCACTCATTTGAAGAAAATTAAACAATCTACAACATGGACTAAATTACATTGTCCGACTCCGCCAGACTTGGTTTAAATCTCTTTTTAAAAATGTGATTTATTTCTAAAAATTTCTAATGCTAGACTGCTTACATTTTCACTTTATTAAAAAGACAACACAAGTTTTTTGGACACTTCACATACACAAACACACAATACAAACCACTTAAAAAAGTATTTATTTCAAAACTTTTTATTTTGTCCATAAAATTTTAAGTATTCGTGTTTTTAAAATCGCACCAAAAAATCGTAAATTCTCATGTAAATGTTAACATCAACAGCTGTTTTTAACAGCTGTTTTCTTCGCAGTGGCGCCATCTATGAAAATTTCTGGTATGCAACATTAAAAATTAATCTATTGTGAATGATATGCAGTTAAAATTATTTAAATCCTTTAACTTTCAAAAAATGGTTTTTGGCCAGAAAAAGTGGTCAAATTTCCTATAGTGGAATGTCTCGGCGACTGTCGTGTCTGCCAGTGTCTGTGTGCCGCCGTGGTTGTGAGAGTATCTGGCTCTGTGTGTGTGTTAGTTTACCAACACGTGCACGCCACATTTAATAAACGAATGCCGAAAAACAAGCAGGAAACATGGCGCAAATGTATTATTTGTTGTTAAAATAAAATGACGAAAAGGAAAACAAGTTGTAACATAATAAAAAGCGATATTGACATGCGCGACTTCATAACACCCTTCGTATAGCTTGGGTAAAAGTATTGGAAATCGGGTAATATCTGAAAAACTATATATTAGAAAATAAACTAGAATCTATATCCTTACAGGCCATATCCTTACAAAATTTTTAATTGTATTGAATATCATTCTATCTTTAAAAATAAGTATTTGTCCCAAATATTAAACTCTTTTTTCGATTGTTCAGTTATACGGCAGCTAAAGGATATAGTCGACCGAGCGTTATAAAATTTGGTAGGTTGATCATATGGCTATAGGATATAGTCCCCTATATGGCCCACGGTGATGGCTATATCTTCCTCAATCCTGATCCGATTCTCAAGCGGAGTACCTTAAACGATTTCTAGATCGATTCTCCACTATTCTGCATTAAAATCCTGAGACAAAATATTTTTTAAATTTTTTGTCCATTTTTCGTGATGGGATCCCTTGAAAATGCGGTTTTCCCCTATATGGCCCACGGTGATGGCTATATCTTCCTCAATCCTGATCCGATTCTCAAGCGGAGTACCTTAAACGATTTCTAGATCGATTCTCCACTATTCTGCATCAAAATCCTGAGACAAAATATTTTTTAAATTTTTTGTCCATTTTTCGTGATGGGATCCTTTGAAAATGGGGTTTCCCCTATATGGCCCATAGTGATGGCTATATCTTCCTCAATCCTGATCCGATTCTCAAGCGGAGTACCTTAAACGATTTCTAGATCGATTCTCCACTATTCTGCATCAAAATCCTGAGACAAAATATTTTTTAAATTTTTTGTCCATTTTTCGTGATGGGATCCTTTGAAAATGGGGTTTCCCCTATATGGCCCATAGTGATGGCTATATCTTCCTCAATCTTGATCCGATTCTCAAGCGGAGTACCTTAAACGATTTCTAGATCGATTCTCCACCACTCTGCATCAAAATCCTGAGACAAAATATTTTTTAAATTTTTTGTCCATTTTTCGTGGTGGGATCCCTTGAAAATGGGGTTTTCCCCTATATGGCCCACGGTGATGGCTATATCTTCCTCAATCCTGATCCGATTCACAAGCGGAGTACCTTAAACGATTTCTAGATCGATTCTCTACTATTCTTCATCAAAATCCTGAGACAAAATATTTTTTAAATTTTTTGTCCATTTTTCGTGATGGGATCCCTTGAAAATGCGGTTTCCCATATATGGCCCATAGTGATGGCTATATCTTCCTCAATCCTGATCCGATTCTCAAGCGGAGTACCTTAAACGATTTCTAGATCGATTCTCCACCACTCTGCATCAAAATCCTGAGACAAAATATTTTTTAAATTTTTTGTCCATTTTTCGTGGTGGATCCCTTGAAAATGGGGTTTTCCCCTATATGGCCCACGGTGATGGCTATATCTTCCTCAATCCTGATCCGATTCTCAAGCGGAGCACCTTAAACGATTTCTAGATCGATTCTCCACCACTCTGCATCAAAATCCTGAGACAAAATATTTTTTACATTGTTTGTCCATTTTTCGTGATGGGATCCCTTGAAAATGCGGTTTTCCCCTATATGGCCCACGGTGATGGCTATATCTTCCTCAATTCTCATCCGATTCTCAAGCGGAGTACCTTAAACGATTTCTAGATCGATTCTCCACCACTCTGCATCAAAATCCTAAGAGAAAATATTTTTGAAATTTTTTGTCCATTTTTTGTGATGGAATCCCTTGAAAATGGGGATTTTCCCCTATATGGCCCACGGTGATGGCTATATCTTCCTCAATCCTGATCCGATTCACAAGCGGAGTACCTTAAACGATTTCTAGATCGATTCTCCACTATTCTGCATCAAAACCCTGAGACAAAATATTTTTTTAATTTTTTGTCCATTTTTCGTGATGGGATCCCTTGGAAATGGGGTTTTCCCCTATATGGCCCACGGTGATGGCTATATCTTCCTCAATCCTGATCCGATTCTCAAGCGGAGTACCTTAAACCATTTCTAGATCGATTCTCCACTATTCTGCATCAAAATCTTGAGACAAAATATTTTTTAAATTTTTTGTCCATTCTTCGTGGTGGGATCCCTTGAAAATGGGGTTTTCCCCTATATGGCCCACAGTGATGGCTCTATCTTCCCCAATTCTCATCCGATTCTCAAGCGGAGTACCTTAAACGATTTCTAGATCGATTCTCCACCATTCTGCATCAAAATCCCAAGACAAAATATTTTTTAGATTTTTTGTCGAATTTTCGTGATGAGATCCCTTGGAAATGGGGTTTTTCCCATATGGCCCTTATATCAAACATACAAAAATTAAAAAATACCCTTCTTTTTATTTCCTTTCATGTAGGCACACAATCACATAAATTCCTCATTTTTTGGGGCCTCATTTTATTGCTCGAAAATACACACAAATTCCTTGGTTCGGATCGAAAGCTGCAAAATTAAATAGTTAGGATCAAGAAGAAAGATGATGCGCCGATTTGGTCTTAAAAGCTGTGCCCTAGTCCGCACCTATGCCAAGGACATTCGCTTTGGGTCCGAGGCTCGCAATCTGCTTCTGCAGGGAGTAAATGTGATGGCCAATGCAGTGGCCACCACTCTGGGACCGAAGGGCCGGAACGTGCTGATCGAGCAGCTGCTGGTGTCACCGAAGATCACCAAGGACGGCATCACGGTGGCCAATAATGTCGAGATGCACGATCGACGCCGCAACCTGGGCGTCCAGCTCATTCGCCAGGCCACCAACAAAACCAACAACGAGATCGGAGATGGCACCACGACGGCCACGATCCTTGCTCGGGCCATGACCTGCCAAGGCATGCACACTCTCCGCCAGCCGAACATCAATGTCCAGCTACTGCGGGAGGGAATGCTGAGTGCGGCGCAGGTGGTGAGCGACGCCCTCCAGGACATGTCCCAATCGATCGACACCATCGGCGAGGTGGAGGCTGTGGCCAAGGTGGCACTCAACGGGGACGAAAGCCTTTCCGGCCTGATAGGGGACATAATAATGGAGCTGGGCGAGAGTGGAGTTATCCTGGTCAAGGATTCATCCAGCGGAAAGGACGAGGTTACTTTCCAGGAGGGCGTGCACATAGATTCGAGCTATGCCTCTCCATTCTTTGCATTGGATAAGGAAGACGGCCTCCTGGAGTTTCACGACTGCCTGCTGTTGATCACCCTGGCCAGGATTCAAGAGGTTTCCCAAGTATTACCCGCCTTGGAGTTGGCCAAGGCCAAGGGTCAGCCCCTGGTGATCATTGCCAAGGAGTTCTCGAACGATGTTCTGAAGGCATTGGTTCTGAATCAGCTGAAAGGGTGCGTCCAGGTGTGCGCCATTAATGCTCCAGGATGCGTGGATAATAGGCGCGACGATATGGAGGATCTGGCTATATGCATGGGAGCCACCCTCCTGGAGGATGAGAGCTGGCTGGCCAACCTTGAAGAGGACCAATTGGGCGAAGTGGAGGAAGTCTTTGTGAATTCCAAAGAGACGCACCTTCTGAAGCCGCTGAACGTGGACAAGAAACTGAAGAAACGCCGCTTCTTTGAAATCGCAGAGCTCAAGAAGAAGGCCTTCACCGACGAGGAAATGGAGCGACTGCATCAGCGGGAGGGCAGGCTGCTGGGACGACTGGCCGTTGTCCGGGTGGGCGGGGTCAGCGAAATGGAAATAACGGAACGTAAGGAGCGCCTCAAGGACTCCATTAACGCCGTGCGCAAGGCCATGAGCGATGGTGTCCTGCCTGGCGGTGGTACTGCCTACCTGCGTTGCATTCCGATCCTGGATAAGCTTAAGCCTGCGAAAACGAAGGAGCAGCAAATGGGCAGGGAGATCGTGCGGGATGCACTGCGCCTGCCCTGCTACACCATCGCTCGCAATGCAGGCGTTGATCCCGACGAGGTCACTCGCAACGTCCTGCAAGGCAGTGGCAACTTCGGTTACGATGCCGCCGCCGGGGAGTACGGAGATCTGATCGAACGCGAAATCATGGACCCCACAGATGTGATGCGGCATGCCGTAGTCTGTGCCACCGGTATTGCCGCCATGATGGCCACCACAGAGGTGGTGATCACAGAGGAGCCGGTCAAGCCAAAGGTTCCCCAAAACCAGGTCACGAGGGATTTGGCAAGTCTGGTTGGCATGTAGACCAGTATGTTTCCTTCCATTTTTTTTTGAGACGTGCATGTGCGATTACAAATTATTTCAATATCTAAATTTCTTTGACTTATGTGACTTGAAAAATATTTGGATAGCAAGGAATTATTATTAAAATTAAAGCGAATAAAACAAAATTATAGCATATATAGCTCAAATAAATTGTTTTCTTTAATTAATTGTATTTATTTCAATTATTTATTAATTAATTGTTAAATTCTACTCCTTGCTAAAAATTTCCACAGTGCACTTAAGGGTATCCTTGTTTTTCCAGTGGAAACCATAATTTAAGCTCGTAGAGGCACGCATGCCGTACCGCTTTCAATAGACAGAATGGAAATTCCTATCGCTCGTCCCTCGGCGTCCTGCCCCCATCCATCCAAACACCCACATGTCCTTGTACATGCTCCTGCTCCTGTTCACTCATTTCGACTTGACCTTAACCATTTGCTGCGCTTTGTTTGGGCGCCGGCAACACAAACAAGGAAAGAGACCTCAAATAATGTTACACAAAAAGGGAGTCCTGGCGGCGGCGTGGAGGGGGTAATGTCAGCGAGCGCAATTCTATTTATCTTGATATATATGCGTTATATATTGGAGTCGTGTATGTCAGTTATGTAAGCATGTAGCGATGTCATTAACGGTGGTTAGGGGCAATTAAATGAAGGGAAAAAGCCAGAGGGGAGCTGGCAACACGTATACGTCACGTTGGCCGCACAAACAGAAACATCTGTTTATTAAGAGGGTCAAGCCCTTAACGCATGCATAATTAACTGCCATTGGTTATTTTTATGGGTCACTGCCACCTTCGAGGGTCGTTGTTCGTTTTTGCAGGCCCACAAAATTGCAATCTGAATAATGCAACAGAGTTACTTAAAGGCGGAAATCAGGATAATGTATACGGCGTGGCCTGAGTTGCCTGAGAACTTTGCAATTTAAACGATGTTTCTGGTTCTATATTCGCTTAAAATTAGTACTTACCTTGAGGCGAAGATATAGCTAAGCATACACATACATTTACTATATAGATACATAGATGGGCGGTACGATACCAGAGCCGGGGCTCTAACGGTTCTTGAGGAAGCGCAGCATTTTGCGGCGCCCAGTTTTGTAGCAATGTCGGTTATGTTGTGTGCAAAATGATATGGAATCGTGCTGGCTGTGAAAGAGATTCGGAAAATACTCATCTGGATTAGCAGTTGTGATTTCTCAAGCCCTAGACTCTCACGACAACACGTATGCTCCATTGTTGGTTTTGTTTTTGGTTCTGTTTTCGGTTGCTGGGGTTTATTGTTCGTAAATACAAAATATCAAATCCAATGGCAAAACAAGCCTGACAAGTTGTCGCCTCTTGTTTTAGCAACGAAACCCCCTCGATACCCCACCCGAAACTGAAAAAAAAGCTGAAAGGAAGGAAGCTAAAAAGGACAACAACAGCGTAAACATCACATTGTCATGTCTGGTCATAGAACAAGGATACACACACCCCCAGCACACACATTTACACAGAGACAACCCATAAGCACTCACACCAAGCCAAGGTCCTCGACTGTGCCGAAGGATTTTTTTTGTCGGTTTTTGCTCCTGTTTTTTCCCTGTTGTCTGACAACTTCCGACTTTTGCGGTGGCGGCTCATAAATCAAAATGACCCAAAACGCGCCACGAAACGGTAAGGCGTTGCAAAGAGAAATCGCCAACAAAAAGTTGATCACAATTATCCTGTCCCAGTCCAGAAGAATTTGAGTAATTTGTGCAGTTAAGACTGTGATTAACGTATTTTTAAGCTTTTTATGCGATATTTATTAGCCTTGTCTTCATATAAATTGCATTTCCCCTTGGAGTTTTTTTCATTTTGAAACCGTTTTTTTGTTAAGAGTGTTCTTTTTACTTACAAATCCTCACTCTAATTTAAGTTTTTTAAGCTCGCGCCATAGAGGTCCTTCAAACTTTCACCTTTAAGCAACCAAGTGCCATAGCAGTCAGCATTTGGTGTCTGACAGCATTCAAATATATTTCCACCACGTGGTGGAAAAGATAATAGCTGACGTTACATATTTTTTAAAAATGAATAAAGCTCTCTTGACGAGAACTTTTACGTAATCCCAAATGCATAATCCTTTATTTTTTTGAAAATATTCATAGATGCTATAATATTAAAAAATTAATGGTACTTCCCTTACTTTGTAAAGCTTCTTAAGCATTCGTTTATATATTTGTTTTATATCCAACAGAAATTATTTAAGTCACTGACGTCAAGTTTTTTTAAATAAACAAGCAACAAATTTTTAATTTTGGTAAATTTTGAATTTATTTATGGTCTGTCAACAATGTTGCTGGTCATCTGGCAACTATGTTCCATCTGGGAAAAAGTATGTTCCCAGACTGGTCACACAGAAAATCCTTGCCACTATCTCCCATTGATAACAAGCCCCTCTAAAAGTATACAGAGATGTTTTAATTTTTAGCTAATTAAATGGAAAGCCTCAGCCCGTTTGTTTTCTGGTCGCAGACCAAACAGACACTCTTACTTAAAGTCGACCTCAAAGATGCCAAGGTATGTAGGAATGGTGTTAAAAGCCAACTCTTCCGAAACGAAAAATCAATAATCAAAATTTTTATAGGGCGCTATCGCAGACTTTTCGCCGGTTGCGGTGAATTTTAGTGCCAATGGCCACGGAGCCCGGGGCATGAATGCCTACAAGTTTCAATTGCACTTCTATGCCTTGATAGACGACGAGAACGCCACATTTGTGGTCAGCGACAACAAAATCGAATTACAGGTAAGGGAATCATATTGGATAAAATTGAATCAATATTGGATAAAAACCAAGACGTCGCTATCTAATCGTTTGAATATCTTTCGCCTGCGCAGATTAGAAAACTAGAACCGGAATGGTGGCCCCGGCTAGTGGCCACTCCTCAGAAACCACACTGGCTGAAGATAGACTTCGATCGCTGGCGCACCGAGGACGATGCCGAACTGGAGGAGAAGCCGCGGGACGTGCGCCAGGACTATCAGCAGGAGTACGCAGACCTGCAGAAGCGCGAGCTGGGCTACATTAAGGGTAAGATCTCTCTGTGATATTTTAGAACAGTATATAACTCTTAACTCTTTACTTTTAGAGAAAACGAAGAAAGTCTACATGATATTCTACAATCTGGCCATGTTTATAGGATACCTGTACATAGTGGCCGTCATGGGAGTGCTCTACTACCGCGATGGGGCTGAGAGCATTGCCAAGACATACGCCAACGTGGGCAACGCCTTCAAGTTTGTGCAATTGCTGCAGTATCTTGAGGTGATGCATCCGCTGTTCGGCTACACGAAGGGCAGTCCGCTGGTACCATTTTTCCAGGTATCGGGCCGCAACTTTGTGCTCTTTCTAATGATTGAAATGGAACCGCGCATGTACACCAAGCCAGTGGTATTCTATGTGTTTATCATTTGGTCTCTAGTGGAACTCGTTCGGTAAGTCAGCTTATTGCATGAGATTATGTATCTTCTAATGAGTCCTTTCTCCGCCAGCTATCCTTTCTATCTAAGTCAGCTGCTGGGTCGCGAAGTGGGCTTGCTCACCTGGCTACGCTACACCATCTGGATACCGCTTTACCCCATGGGCATTCTGTGTGAGGGAATCATTGTTCTCCGCAATATTCCCTTCATTGAGGAGACGAAACGGTTTTGCGTCGACATGCCCAACCGCTGGAACATCACTTTCGACATGGTTCTTTTCCTGAAAATCTACCTCCTGCTACTGATCCTGCCTGGCAGCTACCTTGTCATGTCGCACATGGCCAAGTTGCGGGCTAAGAAGCTGGGACGAGGGCGTGCCAAGCGCCGGCAGCACCTTCACGCCGACTAATCGACCCACTGCCCGGAGCAGGTTCGTTCGCACTGTGGCAGTACCTATTTCCTATTTTCGTTTAGCATAAGCAAACAGTCCAAAGAACTCTAGAGATCCACCAAACTATTCAACTTTTGACGTTCATTAAACATTTTTATCATATTGCAAATGTAAATTGTTTTCATTTCATTTTAAGGATACGTAGTGTAGGTGTAGTTTCGTGGTTTAGAATGGTGTTATTGTAGACCTAAACCTTAACTGAGATTTTTGTATGCATTTCTTAAATTCAAGGGTTTTGTAAGATTTGAATATTTATAATAGATAACTGCCATCCATTTTGGAACTTCACATATCATCTGAAATGGATTATTATTAATTAATCCTTTTTGAGGCTAAATAATGCCATTATATAAGAATAACAATAGGTTAAATCACCCGTATAAATTACTATAACTAATAAACCTTTTCAATTATATTTTGATGAGAATTTTAAGGGAATTATTTATGTGAAAATCTTCCATTCAAACCTGTTTAACTCAATTGAATATTAATGCCACTTTTTCCTATGATTTTCACTGAATATTTATGAGAATAATTCTATTATTGTTTAACGTTGAAATACATTGTTTTCTCAGTGCAATGTTGCAGGTAACCTGTACGGATTTATTCCTTTTTGTGAAAATTACATCACCACAAAGTAAGCACTCTTATCAAAGGGATTTATAAAGTATTACATAGATATGTATCATGGATGTATTTCCTAGCCAACATACCAAAAGACCGCGTGCATTGAGCGTTAACATCCTGTCAGGCTTTGACTCCTCGCCCTCGGGCTCCTTTGCCATTTGATGATGGGTGGTAATCCAATTTGCACTCGAGGACGTTGCACAAGTTATTGGTGATCCACTCGACCCGAAACTGGATTCGATTTCTGAATGGAGCTCGTTAGGGCCCGGGACTTCTGACGCTGTCATTTCCGCGTGAGTGTCTTTCACATGCAGGCCACTTATTATTTATAAGCAATATCGCGTGGAATAGAACTTTAATTAGATTCGTGAACCGACATGGGACAAAGTGGAGTCCTAATGGTTTCGACGATAGTGCAGCCGGCAATTGTCACCTGCTGAGGCCGAGATTAATGACTCCCGGCCGGGCCAGCAATTCGTCCAACAAGCCAGCGAAATTTATCCCCATCAAGCACCGTTTCGCGTGAAATATTCATTGCAATTTGCACTCTCATTCGGTTTGGATAGGTGGTCTTTTTTTGTCCTTCTTTTTTTTGAACGGATACTGGCACCGGCACTGGGGCTGGTGCTGGCATGGAACTGACCCGAGCCGGGGTTAACGCTCAACTAATCACCGACCATGGCCAGCTGGCAGCTAATAAAGCACCGACACAGGCCTGCCCACTTGCTGATAAATGAGTTTTTGATTAATGCCGACCGCGATTGATTTTCGGCCACCAGAGCACTGGCCACTGGCGGTTTCTGGCCTCCTTCTGGCTGGAAAAATATCCGGATTTATGCCAGATGGAGAGCGGTCTCGGGTGCATCTGGAGATGCAGCCAAAAAGTGCAGGCATCAGCAACTGTTCGCCGTCATGATTTACAGCCAGTTATAGTTTCTCATCGGACACCCCCTGTTGGATAGGTGATTTATCAACCGAACAGGCACTGGACTGGTGCTGTCAGAGGTCAGAAAGTAGCCCAAGTGCCCCAGGTCCCCAGGAATTGCACGCAATCACAGATAAGTAAGCTGGTTGCCAGGCACCCAGGTCCTAACCCAACAAAGGACAAAAAATTACAGGGACTCCAAATCATATCCGTGTTAAAAAAACATCAAAGAAAAATTAATTCAAATATTTGTCAGCAGCTTAAATAGGGGCTAGTGGAAAATCCTTAATTAGAGGGTGGATAGTCTGCTGCCAAAAGAACTAAAGAATCTGTAAACTTGATTTAAATTAAGATTGAAGAGTCTGAACTTTCATTCCATCTAGGTCGAATAGCTTGAGGAATAACCATATAAAAATCCTTTCTTTTATTGCATTTCAGGATGTCGATATCCTTGGCAAATGTGTGATTTCCTGTCGATATATGGGTGAGGGACTTCCATTTCCACTGCCGCTGGAGACGAGAGCAAAACCGAAGAAAAGGGAAACCGCAAACCAACCAACTCTGCACTTGTTAATGACCTCTTTGTGTCCGACATCGAAATGCATTCTCCGAGCCTGCCACACGCCACGAAAGTATGCTATAAAATTTACACTAATTGCAGGACAAGCCCGCAAAGAGGATACTAAAGGTGCCGAAAGCTGTAATTTATATAACATGCTGAATTACAAAAGGATTTAATGGGGGTTTTCTTAAAGGTTTCCTACAAACTTTTTCTTTATGAAAAGAACTTACATGGTCAGAAATTCAAACTAGAAACTTATAATGACTATAATGTCAGTGTACGAAAAATCCAATAACACTCAGGTTTGGTCGAGCGGGTGAGATACCAATTAAAGTCTATATATTAAGGAATACCGGCTGGAGGCCCTGTTCATGTAGGTCAGTAAGCAAAATCGATTGTGATTGATTGCCCAAATTCATGTGGTCGGTGGTGAGGTGGACAGACTTCCACTCCTGGCCCAGGATGTAAGGTGATTGAAAAGCAACCGAGTAACAAAATGCAGCCAAAACAATTAAAATCAAATATCCGGAAAATGTCAAGTCCTCTTGAAAGACTTGAAGGATGACCTTAAATCGAAGCAAAACTTAAAGATGCTAATTTGTATAAATTCATCGGAGATCCAGATATAGAGACTGAATCAAACTTTCTGAAATACATATCGTGAAAGTGCGGAAAGAGCTGGCGAATGCAAACCCATAAAATGCAATGTAATAAAAGCCAACAACTCTATAATATGTACGAGTGAAAGCCAAGCATCAGCAAACACTGCATCTAAGAAATACGTATATTGGGAGTACGTACTTCATGTGTGTAGATGTGCCATGATTTGTGTACCCAAATGGCTGGAGACATCGTCAATGGAGCCGCCAAATCTGACTCAGGGCCAGCAACAATCTTTGCATCCGCTTTCGATCCGGGCTGGTGATGGCGCCAGGCCAGAATCCATTGGTGTCCAGCCACCCCACCCCCTGAAGTCCTTAAGCCCGTCTTAGCCCCTTGTGAGCCACACATATCCTTATTTTATGGCTGCTAAGTAGGGAGCTTCCTAGTTTGAATTTCGGCTTCAGCCGGAAAGGAAACTATCAGGAGCATCGGGTCACGTAGCCGAAAGTCTCAGGGCAGTAACTTCCGGCGGCTACAAACTGATTTTTATAGCTCCTTCTCACAAAAGTTATGATAGATGGTCGGGCAGTTGCAAACAGATGTTTGTGATAACTACTCACACCCAGCATCCAAGGCTGGGGCTCTGGACTTGGGACTCTGGCTTCCAAGTTTATGAAAAATGAGCCAAGATGATTATTCGATGGCAGCTGCAAAGTGTTCGGCCGGCAATCAAGTGTCATTACTTACAAAACTACACAAAAGGGCACAAAAGCCGAGTGAAAATAGAAATCCATACAATTCAGGAAGATACAAAGAAACTACAATTGAAACTGAACTGGATATAGAGCACGGAATCAATTCTATTCAGAAATTGCCAATAGATTGAATTTCAGACTTTCAGTTTGCAGAGAAAAAGCCATTTATTTAAACCGAGAAGTTAAATTATTATTTGTGGGTTTATTTTTCGTTTTAAATAATATCCAAAGGCTTAGGATAGGAGTTGAATGAGAAAGTGCAATCCAACTGGCAGATGTTTCCCAGACTTAAGTAGCAGAAACCAATTAACTCTTTATGACCTGATAGTTATCATTCTCTTCTTGGCCAACAGAAACCACTTAATTGAGATTTTGCTTAACTGGAATACTTAAAGTTTTTAAAACAGTTCACTTCTCTAAACTGGCCCCGCTCCAATGCCGTTTGCCTTATGACACTCGCTTTTTCAGGCGCCTCGCCCACAAAGCGTTGGCCGGCGGGCAGGCCATGAATCTTCAAAGACCCTCCGCCGACGACCCAGGGCCAAACCAGGCCACCCAACCACCCTCAACCACCCACAACCCACATTAAAAGTGGCAAGGCAATCGTGTGGCGAAAAAGGGCTGACAGCGTAAAGAGCGTAACTTGGCCAAATGCCTTCCCCTCTTTTATTTTTTTAATACATATATTTTCACTTATTTCTGGCTGGAAATTGGCCTGGCCACCACTTTAGGCCTAGACCGATCCAAGGTCCCGGCCCAAAATACTCAACTTGGGCCAATACAATTACTGAACTGGATAATTTGAGTTTGACGCGAACTTTGCGAAATTAAAGCATGTGCCTGAATAAATATTTAGCCAACTTTATTGAACGGAAAGCGGTTTCGGGCCTGGTCCATATGAATGGCAAATATGCCTGGTCCAGATAATTATGATGTTAGCAAACATTAATGCAAAATAACAATTACCGGCGTTTGTTTATTAATTTGCAGCCCTGGGAAATGACAGCAATTAATTATAACTTGTGGATGCATTCCATGTTTGCTCCCAGGATGCCAGGATTAAATGGCATCTGTCCAAACTTTAGCTCACCAAAACGAACAAACAAAATTTATGACTAAGGAATGCTTTGAAATTTAAAATTTAATTAAAATTTCATGGCAAAAATGACACAATCATCCCGAAGGCAAAAGTTTCGAAGGCCAAGGAGACAAAGGCAGGAGTCCCAAATCCCAGCTTATCCAAGGACCTGGCCAGCTGGGATATTTAGTCCTGGGTGCCAACAGTGTCCATTTGGATAGTCCCCTTGGAGGTTTAATTATTCAACGCGACTCAGAAACATTTTTAAAATGATGAATTTTAAATTCTTTGTCCCTCCAGCTTTTGTTGGTCGGCTTGGCAGCTTTTAAAAGATTCTATTAATTTCCTGGCAGGTTGGATTTGAATATAAATGTGTCTTGATTTTGGTTTCAACTACACTTGATTTTATTGCATAATCTCTGGTAATATGTAGGTATAATAAACAACATATCAGTGCTCAAATAATAGCCACAATCTATGATTTTTGTGGCCAATATTCCTTATCATAGATATGAACAAAATTAATTTTTTTATTGCCTGCGACGTAATAGCGACTTTTATCTATAGTTCTCAGTTCAATTAGTGTAATTTTGATTATGAATAAGTACCTAAGTGTGACGCAGTTGTCTAGTTACATTAATACATTAAAATTGCCTAATTTTATTAAAATTATTTGAAAAATTATCACTTTAAGTTGTACTCCAATCACTGGAATAATTTCGTTGAAATTGTTAAGATTTAAATTCGAAATAAAGCTCATCCGAATGTTGACTTAATAACTAAATCCTATCTATGTTTTGGGTAAAATAAATACTATTTTAGAATATATTGAGGCTGCGGAAGAGGATGAGTATATTTCTATATCCAGAGTCCTAACAAGGACTCAGATGAGAGGACCCGCGTGTTTCTTTTGGCCCTTGAGGACTCGTCGGTTGTGGGGCATGGCGTAGCAGAGCTTGCTCCAGAAGAGCGGGTCTCCCCACTTCAGGTAGGTGTTCAGTTTGAGGTACGCCTTCAGTTCGCTGTCGATGCCGTTCATGTGCTCCAGCTCCTTGTACAGGATGATGATGATGCGCTTGCGCTTGTCCTGCAAGGTGGCCTGGTAAGCGATACGGAACTCCATTCGCGCCCACACCGAGTCGATAAAGTGCTGCGAGAGCACGATGATCACCCGCTTGGAGTCGTCCACAGTCCGGACTATCTGCTCTGGAATGCAGTCACCCACCAGCCAGTCCCGGTCGTGCAAACAAATGCGGAAGGGATGCGGACCACTTTCCAGCTTGGGCAGCATCTTGCTGATTAGCTCCTCGTCCTTGTGCGAGTACGATATGAAGGCGTCGTAGGTCTTGTCCTTGTCCAGCTCCTCCTCGGAGACCCACCACAGACAGAGGTTGTTGTTGTACAGCCAGATCTTGAGCTCCTTTTGGAACATCAGATAGAAGACTGTGATCAGGCAGGCAACTATCACGAGGCCGCCAATCACGCAGCTGACCAGCAGGACGTAAGACGGACACAGCTCAAAGGCCTCCATCTGCTGGAGGGGCTTCTTCTGGCGTGGGCACATCACGTCACCGATGTCTTTCACTCGCTGCGGATTGGATCGAACGAAGAACAGCAGGGACAGGGCATCACAGTCGCAGGCCAGAGGATTACCCGATAGGGACATCGTCATCGTGTTGTTCTCCATTTGGAGGAACTCTACAAACTGTTCGCTGATGGCCGAAATACTATTGCGACTCACGTCCAAATAGGTGAGATTGTCGGGCAGCTGGTCTCCGGTTCCCAAGTCGGTCAGCTTGTTGTCCGACAGGAAGAGGCCACTCACATTCGCGTAGCCCGGATGCTCACCCACCCCGGGTAGTTCGGTGAGGCTATTGTTGCCCACTTTCAGCACCGTTTGCACCAGCGTGGTTCGTGGCAGGAGGGGCAGCTCGTTTAGGTCGGTGCCGCGACAATCCACGATCAGACTACCCATGCTCCGCTGCACCCAGCAGATGCAGCGCTGGTTGCACTGCCAGTCGGCGGACTTGTACTGGCAGGACTCGTCGTTGGTGCACACAACCGCCTCGTAGGACATGTTCAGGGTGGCCCCGTAGAACTGGGTGTTCACCATTTCGATGTAGTTCAGGCTGATAACGTTCTCGAACACCCGGGGCGACATGGCGGTCAGAGAGTTTTTGTTCAGCCGCAGGACATTCAGCTTGACGAGTGGCTCGAATATTTTGCTGCAGAATGGAGGAGATCTCAGGAGGATTAGATTGTCATTAATCGGGACTAGGTGGTTCTACGAAGCTCAGTGGGGCTATCAAAGCTATTACTCACTATGCTGTACATTATAGGTATATTGTGATTTAAAGTAAAGTCTAAAATCATCTAAAATCTCTAAAAATTCTATTTAGGAAATGAAATATTTTTGTTGCTATGTGGTTTTTAATTAAGACTATTATGATGACAAGACTAGGTTGTGTATGGATTATAAAGAACTAAGATAGATTACTTCCAGTTGCTGTCTTGTAGTGGCTATCTTATAACATTGTTGTATAATTAGGAAAGTAGGAACCAAAATAAGCAAAACCAAGCAACTATAAAATAATTCATTTAAATATAGTGGAATCTAGTGAAGAAATATTTAATCTTTAAATACGAAAGCTTTTCTTATAAATATAGTACAAATATTATACCAATATGCTTTTAAAACTTGTACTGAAATATCTATCTATCTTAGAAACATATTATAAACAACGATACTCTTAGTTTGTTTTTACATTTTTAGTCAAATAAAAAGATTATTTAGTATACCATTAAATCTCTAATAAAAACTATTTCACAATCTTTTTTATCAACATTTTTATAAATACTATGTCAGTTGACTTTTATAAGAGCTCTCTAAGTATCTGCCAGGAAAACGGCTTTATTTATTTATATTTACAATCTGGCAAGTACAAAATAAGTAATTAATTTTCTTAATCCTGCATCTTATCAGAGTCTGATTAGTAATAAATTAACAAACTATATTTTGTAGAGTTTGTTCAAAGAAAGTAAAGGTCCCTAACACCTTACCTTAGATAAAGTTAAAAAAAAAGTAAGTTTGATAAAAAAACTATTATTATTTGGCATACTTTTGGGTGGACCCTTTCTAGAATTATCTAACATTATTATTATTAAATGGTAACCTGATGATAGCACTCTGATAGCCCCACTTAGCTGTCGGAGGAGACACGGAACACCTACGGAGCTATCGCCCGTGCCGGAGGAGGGCTGATAAGTCGAAGCAACAGCAGCCGGGCGATAAGGCGGAGACTCCTCTGTTCCGCGAAACCGACTAATTATTTCGTTTCGAACTTCTTGACTCTGACCTTATCGCACCGTGGGCCATCTTTTAATCAACAATAGCAAGGCGCAAAAAAAATAGCAACAAAGGGGCGAGCAACGAACCTCGATATATCCGTGAGCTTGTTTTTGCTCAGATCCAAAAGGGTTAGGTTGAACAGCCCCCTGAAGGCTTCGTCGGCCACCTGACTGATGGCATTGCAGGATAGATCCAGAGTCGAGAGCTCGCCTTGATCCAGGAATATCCTTGGCGGTAGCATAGTCAGATCATCGTTTCCATTGATCTTGATGAGCTGCAGCTTCCTGGAGCCCTGAAACATCTTGGGGGTCACCTGGGTGGTGGCCTGGGCCAGACGCACTTCCACCAGCTGCTTCATGGCCCCGAACAGATGGGGCTGCAGCTCGCTGTGTCGACCCCGGAGCGGATCCGTGAGGGTCAGACTCAAGTTCCGTAACTGCTGTAGTTCCCGGAGCAACGGATATCCGAAGCTGACCATGCCCGGGGTCTCAATGATCAGCGTTTCCAAGGTGCCCGTTACGGAGGAGAGCAAGTTGCCTGGCAGCATTTCCACATCCACGTTCAGCTGCAGGTCTGTGAGGCTGTCGAAGCCCAAGAAGATGTTCTCCTGCAGCTCCTTCACGTCGCTGAAGAAGCGGAATTTCTTCAGGCCCGGCACAGAGCCAAAATGCCAAGTGGTTATGTTTAGAAGACTACCTGATCCCTCATAGATGCCATCCACATTGTAGCTGTCCCGGGTAACCACCGTCTCCGAGGTGCGGTCCCTGAACAGAATCGTCTTCACATTCAGTACTCCGATCTCCTGCAGCAGGTTGCTGAGGAAGACCTCCGGCCAGAAGGTGTAGGCGTCGAACTCGAGCTTCACCACATCGCTGATGTTGAAGCGCGGCAGCCAGTGGATGTCTCCTTGGGCGTAGTAGCTCATGTAGACCGACGGTCCCGACTCGGAGACCTCCAGGAGCATAGCGTACTCGTCCGGGCAGTGGAACCGAACCACGTTGCCCTCAGCGGCACAGGTGCACGGGTCACTCAGGCCGTAGCAGAAGGTGTTCAACGGAATGATTTGGCCAATAACCGACGATGGCATCACGACTCCCGAAAGGGCCCACACGAGCCACACTATCGCCGAGTAGCAAAGCATTTTGTAGGCACTTTCTGGGCATTTATTATCTATTCTGTTATTTTTTTATATTTTAGACGCGACACGAGCCGGCAAGTTAACACGGCAACGCTCCGACAGTGACTAAATCACAGCTGTTTTTTGGGGTAGTAGCTACGGCCCATAGGCCAGGTCTGCAGACGTTTTTGGTTTGGTTGTATTTTGTATTTCTTATCAGCCTTTTAGCCGTATCGGAGTGGTCGACATGAGAGCCATGTGAGGCGCACTTATCAAAATATTAGAGGTGGCAAGTAGAAAACTAACATTAATTTAAATATTTGGTTTATTTAGAAAGTGATTTCATTTAAATAAAGTTCAGACATTTTTTTAATCTTTTTAGAGCCACTTTGCTTGGTTTAAAAGCTTAGTTTTTCTATAGAAGCTTCAAATATCTTTAATTTCTAAAATAATTATAATGAAATAACTACCTTGGGTCTATATTTTTCAAACAGAAGTTAAAGTCCATTTTTTATAAATTTCACCCAACACCACACTCAATCGACTCTACGATTTAAAATTTACGAGCTCCTCTTCAAAAAAAAAAATATGATTCATGTTTAACTTTATGTCTGATTTGTATTTCTTAAAAATGGATAATATAATTTATCATTCATCCCAGTTTTTTAAAAAACACACATCACTGTTCAGATAATGTTTTTTAATGCCTTGGGCTTTGGCTATCAGAAGGAATTTATTTATGCCGAAATGCCATAATGTTAATTGCGCGCTCATGCTCTTGGCTTGTTCGTGGCTGTGTAGTTGTTGATAAGAATTGTTTATATATTTCTTGGCCCTCGTACAGACATTTGGCAATTTTTTTTTTATCAAAGAAAGCGGTTACTTTCAAGTGTTTGTACGTTAATAAACATTTGCGGTGAGTCAACAAGAGGAAAATAACCTGGGAGTCACACGCGATTTAGCTTCCAAGCACCTTTGCATATTTTCAGGCATTTCCGTTTGTTTATTTATTGAATTGGGAATCACTTTTGAATCGCTATCAACCGGGAAATAAATAACTGATGGAAGTTTAAAATAAATATCATCTATTAAAGAGGGGCCCGGCCATGAATATCCGATGAGAGCGAGCAATATTTAGGCTAAGCCGCGCCTCGAACTGTCACGCATGGAACACATCCTGGCAGGTTGACAGGTGTGTGGCAGCCACGCTCCTGGGGCCCTCTGGGTGATCCGGGTGTGGGTCCAGACAAGAGCCACACAACGCTCAAAAATAAATAAGGGCCAAGTCAATCACTTAAATGGCCTTGAACGCGTCAAGGACATACTCAGACATCGTTATGGACTCTGGCACATAGGCAGCTTGTCAATCGGGCCACGTTCTTCATTGAGCCGTCTTCATTATACATTGGCCATAATTCATTTCGCGTTGGCGGTACCAACTCAATTAACAGTTTTTCTCCAGCCACCCCACACCGCCAAAAAAAACTTTGTTCCAGTGCCGTTGCCGAAAAGTTTGGAACGACATTTTAATTGGGTGAGGTCGACCTACTCATGCAGTGCAGCATCGCCACAGGACACACATCAGAAGTGACCTTTTTGGCTGGCTAAATGTGAAAAGGCAAACACAATTACACGCCCAATTACCCAAGTACCAAGGTCCTGTCCCCCATCACGTATACGCACCGTTGTTCGCATTACGCATGGGCTGGGTAGTGCACCTTTTTGTGCGCCCAGACCCGCATATCCCTTCGTCACTTGTGTGTTTATAGGCTAACATACATATCCTGGCAGTGATGACGAAAACGTTTCAGAGATATATGCATATATTTTTGGAAGTATTCCTTGTTTTAAACTCCAATTGTATGCTTTTGTTTCATTTATATCGAGGCCTGAAATGAGGCTGCCCCCATGGTCTAATGTAGCTACTCTGAACTGCACCCTTATCTTTTCCAAAACACTCTCCCTTTCAATACCACAAATGCACTGCAGCTGCTCTCATCTAACCGGCAATTTGGATTCTGGTAAACGGCAGTGGGAAACCAAAGGGCACTTGACTTTTGACTTTTCAGCGCCACAATGGGGTGCAGGACTGGTGCTGGAAATGGTAATTAGAAGCCTGAAGGCCCATCAATCAGGGCCAGACTGGGTAGTAGCATTTAAAGGGTCGTATCTCATAAATGTCAACACTAAATTAACACAAAACTCGCACAAGCAAAAGGCTGGCTGCTAAATTATGTTCAGGGACGACCGAAACAGGATTTGCCATCCTCTGTCAACTGTCAAGCCCGACCATTGTGTTGGCAGGCATGTAGCTCAGATTGGTCCTAACCTATTTGACGTTTGGCAAATTGCATGCCATGCCATCCAGCCAGCCAAAAAAGGAAATGCATTTTGAGTAGCACATTGCGAATTAAATCAAAATAAACACACAGAAACCCCCCGACAACAGCTTAGTTCTGTGGATAAATAAACGAATGGCAACAACATCAGTATAAACATCGTCCAAATTGTGCTTGCTTGCACTTTTCCAACCGCAAATACATTTTCCTTTTCCATTCCACAGATGAGTGGCTTTACTTTGTGTGTGTGTGCCTGGGTGTACTCGAAAAATCAAATCAAATCCCATCCGAAAAGAATCCCTCGAATAGAATGCAATAAGAATAGTGAACAAGATCAACTTTTAGCAACAAATCAATAAAGTTTTGTGTTTTGTTAGCAGATTGCTTCTGGCTGGCTGCTGGCTACTGACTACTGACTGGGAGGCATCTTGGCAGCTCATCGAAATGGGCAACGTTGCGTATACGCAATCTGGGCCAGGGCGGAGGAGCAAACAACTGGGTAAGTGCAATTTGTTTTGTTACTAGGAATTTACATCTGGATTCAGTACAAAATGCACTTAACTCAGTTGCTTTGGGGTGGTAATTGGAAAAGCAAAAAGGCCAAGCGAGTTCTCGGAACATGAGCGAAAATTTGTCGAGATTAGTAGATTTTCTTGAAACTTATCAGTACTTATTTTTTTTTTTTAGGAAATTGGTTTCTCTAGTAAGGGCTTACAATTTTCCAAGAGTTTTTTGGGATTTATTTATCGTGGAAGTAAGCTCTTTAAACTTAAGCCATTGCATCTGCAAAGGGTGCCCCTACATACAAAATATATGTTATTTTCTAGAAACCCCCAATCTAGTAAAATTAACCATCAGTTTCTTGGGGTCAAACCACTTTCCTTCTATGCTACAATCCAGACAACTCATTTTTCATTGTGGCCCAGGGTTATGTATTAAGCATACGCCACGTCTGCCCAACCGCCATCCTACACCACATGCGCGAGTCATCCCATCATCATTATTTTGCAGCACCCCCATGCCATCCAGCCTGCCCCCAAAACCCTGCCACCCACAATCTACTACTTGCGCCACATTAAATGGCAAAATTGTCAAAATGCCGCAACAAATGGCGACCGTGGCACGTCCGGTGTTTTTGTTTGTGTTGTCTTGTTATTTGCAACATTTTCTTTATATTTCTGTGTATTTTTTTTGTTGCTTCGTAAAGCAGCCGCCTCTTTGTTGTAGGTGTGGCACTGTCTAAATGCTGAAAAATAGAAAGAAAAGTAGCGTGTGTGGAAGGGGAGGAGGATGTGGTGTGGCATGTGCCACTGCATCCGTGTGTGGATCGCCCGTTGGCGATTGTCGTTCCAGTTTGTTTGCTGGTGTTGCTGCTCGCATTGCTCCGCCATTGTTGTGTGCAACAGCAGAAAATGTCGTCAACATTATTGTCAGCATTTCTTGTGGCCAGCCGCATGTGTGGTCCTTTGTCTTAGACTTCGTCCTTTTATCTTTTTGGCAAAAGGAGCACGAAGAATTGCATTTTGTTATTTATTTTTCGCTACATTTGGCGTTTCTTTAGAGCTTTGACGAATATGGGACATACTTTGGGGGAAGTATTACTCCACAAAACATAAATCAATTTAAAATTGTGTCCCTGAGAAACTCTTTCTACTTGAGTTCTGATAAGATGGAACATGTACCTCTGGGACATGAAAGGCACACGTGCCAATGAAAGGTTTTTTTTGTAAAAAAGTATTCGAAACGTATTTCAACTTTCTACAGAAATTAAACAGATGCTGTTGAGCCAACCCATGTATCCCTTACCCGTATAAACTGGATGTCAACTTTTCTTCTTATTTTTAGATGCAGATGCAGGCCAGGCGACATTGCAAGTGTTCGAATGCATCGGAGCATGAAGCAACTACGGCAAAAAATAAAAAAAAAGGAAATTCGACAGTAGCCTGCATGAAAAGAAAAGACGAACAAAAAAAAAATGTGAACAATAAAAATAGAGAAAAAATACTACGAGATGCCAGGGCAACAAAGTTGCAAGTTGAGTTCAGCAAACAGCACACAGCGCCTGCCTGCTGGGTGGCGAGCAGGCAGCTCTATGTAGCGAACATTTTATATATTCGCATACACATTTGTATCTTTGTATCTCTGTATCTCGCTCCCCTACCTGTGGCTATATGGCGCTGACGAGATGGCCCAGAGATGCTCGAAACGAAAACGAGGGGATCTGCAACTTTTTCAAGTGCCTGCCAGCCGAGTTCTCCCTCATCCGCCATCCTCGTGGTCCATCCGCCGGTGCAGTTCTTTACTCTGCTCTTCTCCCAGAGCCAGAGCACTTTTTCCCTCGCAATTCGGGGCCAAGTTTAAACAACTGCACGGACAAGCTCTTCGGCCATCTCATCCGATGCGAAGGATAAACTTTTTACTTAAAATTCGACAGGCGGAAAATAATAATAATAATATTGTGCTTAAGCTCCAACTGCTGAGAGGCACGACCCCTGAAACTTGCAGGTGGAAACACTTTCCAGATGTTCGGGACAATGGTCAGCGAAATATAATTAGGGAAATTAAAAAAATGGTGCCATTATGGTTGAAGGGCTGTCCTTTTCTCTGTTGTCTTGAATCCAACAACAGAGATACAATTTTGTAAAAAGTAAGGTCCGTTTTAAAGCCCTTTATAGAAAAAAATATGAGTAGATCTTCAAAATATTAAAGAAAATATATGCAATATTTTTACTACAAGTTACTACAAGTTGTCTTGACTTATTCCGAGGTT